TCTGAATAATAATAATAATAACAATAATAATAATAGTAATTCCAATGATGATTATTGTTTGAAAAATAACACTAATAATAGATAGCATTTGTATAGTGCAAATTCCCGCTCAACAGCTAGCTCTATGCGCTTTACAATCTCTATTATTACCCCAGCAGACCTAACAGTATTCTGAAACTATCTTTACTTCCAGTGAAGCATACAGTGCAAGCTGCCGTTTCACAGATGATAAAATATTAACATACTGAATACTGACAAGATCTTTCGTTGTCTATGGCCGGATACCCAATTAACACCTGGTTGAAATGAGGAAAATTCGTACAAAGTGCCTGTCCTAAGGACATAACGTTGGACCTGAGACTCGAAGCCCGAAGCCGCAACCTCACTAGTCTGGTAGCCTAACCACAAGAGTGGGTGGTTGGCGGGTGCTCTGGTGTGGTTTGCTTCTTCTTTCCTGTCAAAGATGTATCGTCCTTATCTCCCCTTTTTCTTGTTTATGTTTGTTACTCTCTTGTAACACCTTTAATCTTCTGGCGTTCATATGACCTTTTATGCAGTTGCGAGTACCGTAAAACCTCTACTAAAACTAAAAACTAACCACAAGATACCTAATAGACACACACACACACACACACACACACACACACACACACACACACACACACACACACACACTCACGCTCGTACGCTCGCACGCACGCCCGCACACACACATGCACACACACACTCACACACATAAATTTATGGTGACTAACACCTCTTTTACCCCTGAGTTCCCCTGCCACTTTGTATCTACCTATTGGATTGGCTTCCTTCCTCAGATTAGAGATTCTACAGTGCTACTGTAACGGCCCTATAACGACTTTCACTGCTGCAAAAAATTCGTGTCGTAACAACTTATTGTCAAATGTTTCTTCAACTTAGTTCTCCTACTTTTGCACCATGACTTGTATCAGTTTGTCTCAACAGATCGACATTTTTTTAAACACCTTATATAACCTAGCTGTATTCCAGAAAATTAATTGATAATAAATACTAATAAGAAAATCCAAGTTTCTGGTGTTTAGATTCTATATTTTTTTAAACGTTTACAGTTTTGATAATGCTTGCGTGACGCAGATTTGAAGTATTTTATAAAGTTTGCAAAAAAAACGTTTCTTTAATCTAGCCTCAATTTCCCTGGGGATATATGATTAAAGGAGACACGCGTTGATTTTTACGCACTGACGTTGAAATAACCCTTCAAAAAGTAGTTTTTTGTTCTTCGGTTTTAAATTTTTTTTAAACAATATAATATTTCCCTCTCTGTTTCCTTCTCTCTTTCTCTCTTTCTCTCTCTCTCTCTCTCTCTCTCTCATTCTCTCTCTCTCTCTCTCTCTCTCTCTCTCTCTCTCTCTCTCTCTCTCTCTTTCTCTCTCTCTCTCTCTCTTTCTCTCTCTCTCTCCTTCTCTCTTCCCTCTCTCTCTCCCTCTCTCTTTTTCTCTCTGTCGCTCTCTTTCCTTCTCCCCCACCCTCTCCAGCTCAATCTTATTGTCTTAACCCCCCCCCCCCCCATTCTCTTTCCCTTTCTCTATCTCTCTCTTTCTCACTGTCGCTCAAACTCTCTCTCGTTCCGTGTATGTTATCTTGTGCTTTTGAATGTACGAGTTTATTTTGTGTGTGTGTGCGTGTGTGTATGTGTGTATGTGTGTGTGTGTGTGTGTGCGTGTGTGTGTGTGTGTTGGGGGGGGGTAGGTGTGTGGGTTGTGTGCGTGTGCGTGTGCGTGTGTGATTTTAAATGTGAATAAATATGTGTAAATATGTATATGAATCTGCGAGTGTATACAATGTGTAAGTGTTTACAAATGTCGGCGTGAAAATAACCCCACTTGAAATGCATTTCCCAGTATAGATTCATCTGTCCACACCTATTATTTAATTTATTCACGATATTTTCTTTCAGAGAGCCCTGCAGGGAATGAGATAGAGACCCCTGTGACGTCATACTCTTAGCATAATGGCCAGGCGTCATCACACGTACAGTTTCCTGTCGTCACCCAGCACGGGTAGCCGCCCTTCCTCGTCTTCGTTGTCTTCCTCATCCTACTCTTCACCCTCGTCGTCAATCAAATCTGCTTTAGAATCTACAACTCCTTTACTTGCAAGTGGTCCATTTTTGTCGAAATACCGAGGTGGCCGTTCTAGTGATGCTCTGGGGAAGTCTACAGCTTACGAGAGTTCTTATGGCAGTAGTAGTAGCGGCAGACGCCATTACAACTCATCGTCTTCGTCGTCATCTTTCTTAAGCGCTACTGCCTCGGGGAAGACTGATAATTCTACTGCGCATGCGTCATCCCCGCAATCGTCGCCGTCTTCTTCTTCTCATCGACGAAGATTTCATATCCCAGGACTGCATCATCGTCGTCACGATGACGAGGAGAAATCTGCTGGGAAGGAAGACAAGGAGAAAGAACAGCCTGGACGTCGTCGAAGAGATCACCGCCGAATAAATGAGGAGTCGGAAAAGAATGACGTCACCAGTAGCGATTCTACTGAGAAGCGACGGGTCCGACCTAGGTCGAGGGTTGTAGATGAAGATTCGAGCATTGGGGAGGCTGATCGTGAAAAGCAGAAGGAAACTCTGAGCGTCTCTGAGAAAGATGCTGGGCACTCTGACTCTGCGTCTGTTAAATCTTCATCTGATGTGTCGAATGACTCCGAAATCGTTGATACAGTCGATGACGAGGTGGAAAAGTCTCGACGGGAACGTCGCCAGAGAAGAATCGAAAAGTCGAAAGAGGCAACAAAGGCATCCTCTAATACTGATCTCACGGAACTGAGCGCAAGAGAAGATAGCGGTATCGTCGACTGTGACGTTTTTGTCAAAGACAGTGACGTCACGTACGAATTCCGAAAACCTGGAGTGAAGCAGAGGAGATATGGTGCTGGTTCCGAGGACGGTTCTACGGGTGAATACAGCCGGAACTCAAAGGAAAGTTTGGATACCATAAGAGAGGATAGGCTCTACCAGCACTCTGGAGGGGTCATGAAACCGGCCGTCCAGATTAAGATCGATTCTTGCGATGTCTTCGAGGATCAGGAAGATATGGTGAGTTTATTGCATCTGTTCTAACTTATCAACTTTGTTGAAATTTCTTCGCTTTGCCCTACACTTCAGCATTATTACCTTTTGCTTTCTTCTTCTATAACAAGTGTTATCTTCTTACTGTTAGGATTTTCACTATTTTATAGTATAATACTACTTCCTAAAAAAATACCTTTTAATGCAACATCTTCAAAAGTAAAAGAGATAGATCGCACTTTTTTTATCTTCCCTTTGTGTCTTATTGTTCAGTTCGCTTGTTGTTGTTTTGTTGTTGTTGTTTTGTTGTTGTTTTTTTGCTTTCAGTGTAAATGTGTGTGGGTTTTTTCTTTCTTTTTATTTTCAATAATATTGTTAGACCAACGTTTTTGTCCATAAAACTTGAATTATAAGAACATCGGGTGCATGGTAAATCCACTACCTCGCATGATATCTTTTTGTCTCTGTTGTTAACTAGTCTGGTCGTATACTGGCAGATGCAACACCCCTTCTAGCAACGGCTGGTGATTTAGAGACAAAACGAACACCTGCACATCAGAATTAACCAGATACACGACATTGGTCTTTGTTGTCATTCTTAAAGGATAGGTTTAAAGTTCCTTTCAACACTGTGCGGAGTGGGTGGTTGGTGGGTGCTCTGGTGTGATTTGCTCCTTCTTTCCTATCAAACATCTATTGTCCTTATTTTCCCTTCTTCTTTTTTATGTTTTTTACTCTCTTGTAACCCCTCTAATGTTCTGGCGCTCATATGACTTTATGCAGTAGCGAGCGCTGTAAAACCTCTACTAAAACAAACACTGTGCGGCCAGTGAAGAGGAGAAGGGACCAGGCCAAATTAGTGGAGAGCCTTTAAAATTTCCCAACACAAATTTAGCTTAGACCACCCTTTTGGAATTCGAACCAGGATCTTCAACCCCGAAGCCCAACATAATGCTGGCTGAGCTAACTGTGTCCTGTCGTTTTCATATAAGAAGAAAAACTATAGTATATAGCTGACCACAGTAGCAGTTTTGCAAAGAACGGGCAAGCTATTACATGTACGAGCGTATTATCCGAGAGTCTCTATTTCTGCGAATTGTTTTTCCAAGGAAAACAATAGGAACTTTGTAAATTAGTCCGTTTATATCCTCTGGTTCTTGAGTTTAACATACTGTTTATCCGAACAGGACTTTGGGAAGATAACATTTTGTTAACTGCAGCTTGTTAAAATGTGTACACATGTGATACCTAAGCATTAAGCGGAAAGGAAACTGAGACCAGTACTACTGTTGTTGAGAGTAAGTTCGTTGTGTTTATAAGATAAGGATCACAGTCCCTCCCAAGTTTGTACGTTGTTCAAGTGTCTACAAGCAAGCAAACCACAAGAGTCACAACTTCTGTTCATTCATGCACATGTTCCCAGAATATTTTACTGGTCACTGCTTGTCCCGCTTACTGCATTAATTCATCCTCTCTCCGCGTAGTATCCTCGCTGGTGCAAGCAATCCACTTAAGTTCAAATTTTGAAAATTTCGAGTTTTGCACCTTCTCAAAAGACTGTCTGAGATGTACCTTTCAACATCACTGCATACCGTTTAATGCTATGGCCAAGGCTTGCAAATTTTCTTGCTTTTCATGATTCTTGTTAGGAACAACACAAAAAAAGAATATGTTTTTGGCTTTGACGAAAAAAAAGTATAAAAATAGACTTACAATGAGTGCTTGTGGCACCAACGATAAAATTTCAGTTTTTCTGCAAAGTTTTGAGACGCTCGAGCTATGTTGAGGTACGGAGTTAAAGTGCGTCTTTATTTGAAATGATACGATTTTTAAAAAATCTTGCACACAGACACACACGCCCACACACACACACACACACACACA